ACATCAGGTGTATTTTAATAGAAACCTGGTTATGCATAATAGCTATTAATGTCGCCTACATGCCTGTCACTAAATATTACTTGCTGATTCCTCTCTTTTTCTCATATACATAACGTATTTCGAACATGTCACCATTGGTTACTTTTTATAAGGGCTTCTTACTTCTTAATGTAAGCTTCTTCTCTGTTAAGATCTTTTTCTGTCATGTGAAATAATAAGTGGCAATAGTGTTATGAGTCCATTGGGTATCATGTTAGAATTGTGTTGAATGTTGCCCTTAGATGTTGTTGAAACACATGTACCCATATCGGGAACATAGGGGCACATACTCATTTTAAAACCAAGGGATATACGTTTTTGAAATATATAAATGAGAATGTTTGATATATTTTATACAGATAAAATTATTGTATATCTTATGGTTGACTTTTGCCCCTATTACATTTTACAAAACATCTTGTGATGGGGGTTGTAGACATGTATGTCTTTCAAAGATAATTGTCTTTGTATTGCGTTTTGAATTGTTTAATTTCATTTCTAATACCTTGTTCATTGCTTTCTCCTTTCAAACTGTATTGCATCATGGAGATCTTCACATTATTAGCATCTTATGGTTCATTTGGGAAATCAGACATAGAACAAACATTTATTACATTATAACCAACAATGTCAGCAATGCTTTCAGCACAATGAACGGAGTTGCTACACCCAAAATGATCTTCTCCATCATTTGTCTTTGTCTACTTTGTCTCATTTTTTGTCTATTAAGATGGACATTACATGAATGTCACTTGGCTAATTAATTTATAATTTGCCAATTGGCTAGTTTCTTTTACAATTTGCCAATCACCAAACTCATTCATGATATGCCAGTTGACTGATTTACAATATGCAAGTTGACTGATTTACAATATACCAGTTGACTGATTTACAATATGCCAGTTGACGGATTTACAATATGCCAGTTGACTGATTTACAATATGCCAGTTGACTGATTTACAATATACCAGTTGACTGATTTACAATATGCCTTACAATATGCCAGTTGACTGATTTACAATATGCCAGTTGACTGATTTACAATATGCCAATTGACTGATTTACAATATGCAAGTTGACTGATTTACAATATTACAGTTGACTGTTTTATAATATGCCAGTTGACTGATTTACAATATGCCAGTTGTCTGAATTACAATATGCCAATTGACTGATTTACAAAATGCCTGTTGACTGATAAATTTATAATGAAATACTAGAGATGCTCACATGCATTGGCTCATCAAGGCATAGTGCTAGGCTAGTGCAACAAGTGACATCAAATTTCAATACCATTATCACATAGCCTCGATTTTTCCTTTGTGGTACTTCCATTAATATGGGGATTAAGCACACTTAAGGGTAGTGAAATGTCCATGCATAACATTGTAAAGTATGGAAATAAAAGAACTGGGTTGATAGCTTGAATTGTGGCTGCTCTAGTAAACCCATCATGATAAACCATGACATCTCAAATCTTCTCAGCCCTGAGACACCCAGGAACATCAAGTATCTCGCTAGATTTATTCATATTGAGAAATTCTACATAAAGAAACAATTCATGGAAATACTAGAAGGTGAAAGAAATAGCCCCGATTCTTCATAAATGTGTCAGCCAGCAGTAAACTGACTTAGTATCATCTTGAAGCATTCTGTCATTGTATAAGATTACATGAATAAAAGTTTTAAGTTTGAGACTACCTAAAGATTTATGGTATTTTTATTGGGTATTTTTCAGTGATCGATACCAGACTGAATGGGCTTTGAGTAATCGAGCAAACTTGATTTATTTTGAGTTTGTCAGAGATTTGGGTTGTTGATTATTAAGAAACCAGTCATGATCCTCCTGTTTTGATCCAATAGACAGGAGAGCTTTCTGTTCAAAGCTGCCTTTTTAAAAAAACGCAATCTTGGGTTGTTCCCGGGGTCCCGAGTGATATTTTGAGCTATAATGAGAGAATAAACAATAATAAACAATTGGGCAAAATGCTATGCAAAAATACACACGATAAAGGTGTTATTATGATGATTGGTCCTTTGATTGCTCGGATGATTGGCCGGCGATTTAATTTTCGAAGATTTCTAAATTTAGAATGTCACGTGACTAGCTGATTAGAAGTTTAGATAAGATCAGTTAAATTAATCCCGCTAATAAGTGATGTCGGGTAGTACACTGGGAGAACGCTCGCCTAGAACGCGGATGTCCCGGGTTCGAATCCCTGCCTGATTTTAGAGCCTATGGGATCGACCAGGCGTCCGTCCGTTGGTCCGTCCGTTGGTCCGTCCGTCCGTCCGTTGGTCCGTCCGTCCGTCCGTCCGTCCGTCAACATTGGCCGCACAAATTAAAACTGCTATTCGGATTGAGTCATATCCACATTCATTTTATGCATATCCATAATGCCTATTTGACCTATCATCGCCATTTCCCAAGTTGGCCCGGTTTCCGAGAAATTGCGGATTTTGACGTCATTTTCAAGAAACTTTCTCATGTATAAAGTCAATGGCAGGTTTTGTGATTTACAAGTTTCTCAAAGTTTGCATTATACTTGATCATTTCTTGCAATGAATTACATCATTACTAGATTTAAGCATTCCCTACATATTGCTCAATATATGTCAGCATCAAATTTTTACCGTTTTTGAGATATTTGACGTCAAAAAAACAGTAAAAATAAGTTATTTTTCAACTTGCTTCAATTTGACCAAATTTTTTTAAATTAGTAAAATTTTCAAGGTCAAAGGTCATCAAACTAGGTCACACAACTGTGCTTTCTAAGTTTCTCAAAGTTCGAGACTACAAATCCAAATCAATATTTTAGTTTGAAAGTCAGTACATTTATATACATTCCTCTGAAGGTTCCAAACTGTGTGAGCACAGGACCATGGGTCCTTCATTTTCTAATTATATAGTTGGCTTTGATTTTACGCTTAAAAAACATTTATAACTACGTCAACTTTATATTAAAACATTTATTATCTTGTCAGTTGTATGAAAATGTAAAAAAAAAAAAAATATCAGCTTATTGCCTTTTCGAGAACAGTCAAGGTTTTTTTCATGAAATTATTGTTGCTTCATGCCAATCATTGTTATTGTTTGAACCATCCACTGTCTTCTACTTTTAGACTATTTTCGTATAAATCATATATTTTGTTATTCTTACATGTCATTCATTGGCCTAGACTCCTAGAGCTAAACCTTGAAGTTAAATAAAAGCATTTGTGGTGAGGATATCAGGATAACTCTCACCCGGGAACTCTCACAAGACTGCTAAAGAAGATATGACACAAACACAGTTTATCACTATGTCTGTCTAGTTATAGCCATGTACTTTACTGGAAGAAGAAATGAACCAATTTGTTCTGGAAAAAACATGAATTTGTCTGGTTCAAATCTCAAAGGAATTCGAAAATATGAGTCAACTATGATTAATTTAATGACAGAAATGGTTGGATAGATTTGTTTAGTTAAACTGATTTTATTTCATTATTTATATTGACAATTCGAATATACCTTCGAATTTTAAATATTGATGTAATGAAGAAGTGTCTCTAACACTTGCCTAACTGCTTTATGAGAACCACTCCCTGCTCATTTATGCTAAAGTACATTCTATAACACATTGCAGACTTAAAGATTATAAACCTCATCTCTCTATAGGTGATTTGGATTAAAATTGTTAATGCTCATTTTGATTTTATTAATTCATTTTATGTTAAATAAAAATGTAAAAAACTAGGATATATTATATCTTTTATTGACTATAACATTTGAATTTTTGAAAATAAACTTAAAAAGTCTCCATGATCCCCACAAATAACATTTGACAGAATATTGATTGGCTGTCTGTACTTGACAGTATGTGATTAGCCTTACAAGGATGTGCTCATGTAGTGGGATGTCACTTTGTTATCAACTTCTTTGCTGAATAGAATGAAATCATAGTGAAATGTCTTTGATTGGTATTTAATGACTTGACAGGAGAGGCGAATTTTGCATTATGTGTGATTACTGATTGACCTTCTAGTTTTCTTCAGATATTTATAAAGATATATATTTTCATATACATATACTGTATTAGCAAGAGGCAGACCATAAAATATATATTTCCATATACATATACTGTATTAGCAAGATGCAGACCATAAGATATATATTTCCATATACATGTACTGTATTAGCAAGAGGCAGGCCATAAGATATATATTTCCATATACACGGGAGTACTAATCTTAAACTAGGATGTTGACTTAATATTGCAAAGAGCATGGCTGTAATCTTGTTGGCTTGATTGAGTTATTTTGAAATCTGCACAGTTCCAGGTATATATTATGCATTTGTTTATTGTCTATTGAAATATACAACTACTGGAATAGATGTGTTCAGTTAGGGGTTTTCCCGACATTGTGTCTTCTTCAGGGGACAGAAGTTCTATATATAATTAACAATGAATCTGTTGAAATGTTTAATATTCCGAAAATATGGCACTTACAATTTCATGGTCCAAAATTTTCTTTCCATTTTGCATGCGCTGCAACATTTATAAAAATGCAAGCTAGTATAATGTAAATCCAGGCTGCTTTTAATATGTGTCCAATTATTGTGCGGAAATGAAAAAAATGCTGGATTTTTATTTTGTTGATTGCCTTGCATGCATGCTGCTCTCCTTTTTGAAACCACATGAAAGTTACTGTCAGATATCAATATTAAATGTGAAATTATACATCCATGTTTCCATATCAAAATATATGCTCAACTCTGATTGAATCTGACATAAATCATGAGGTCTCTGTAAGGAATTAATTTTTTGTTTGCAGTTTAATTGTAGGCTATTGCGCAATCATTATAATTCATATAGTTGCTGCCTGCTCTTAGTCTAGTTGCTGCCACGTAAGCGAGACCTGACAAAATGGCCGATCTTTCCATGGTTACCAACATGTTTTGTTTGTTTGTCTCTTATAGGGCAAGTGCCAAAGAAAGGAACCCCCGTGTAAATACCTTCACCCCCCTCAACATCTACGAGAACAGATTCTACAAAATGGCCGAAACAATCTGATACTAAAAAACCTCCAAATGAACGCCATGCCTGTCCCAGGTTTTTCACCTCTCCTCCCCGGCTCAGTCCCACTGGTAGGTACCCAGCATGCTTTGCTCTTATGACATGCCGTTGAATGTCACATTGTTTTATTTTGCTAGGGAAAATGCCAGCGTAAAGAACCACCATGTAAATATCTTCACCCTCCGCAACATTTACGCGAACAAGTTTTACAAAGTGGCAAGAATAATCTGATTATGAAGAACCTTCAACAACAAAGCGTAATGGCATCGTATCTTCAACCGCAGATCGGCCTACAGGGTGCCACAGTGGTAGGTATATTACCCATAATGCCACACATTCCTCCTTCCATCTTGGATGTGGGATATCTCTACCATCAATGTTTGTGTCATCTTTCTTAGACTAATGCTCCATTTTCAGCATTTCTCAGTTGACATCTTCCACAAGCCACAAGTCACACATCCATTTATTTTTCATTTTTTCTGTTGTTTAGTTTATACTCGTATATATTAACACATAAAATAATGAGATGTTAGCATACATAGATGATGTTTTTATGCATGTTGTAATGAATAAGATCTACAATGTTATAGTTGTTATAATTTTTCATTAATCTGAAGTTTAAAATGTCATATTTTGGTCATACATTTAAACTTTTTAAAACATTTTTTCAACTCTATTTGTTCTCAAGAAGTTCCTGAAGTGGATTTTTCTATATTGAAGTGAATATCATTTTGCAGTCATATCCAAGTTTACTAAAGTTCTCTCTATTCTACTCTGATATATTTATCATTTTTAAAATGATGACCTTTTGTGGCATTTTATTATTGGATCACCATATATCTTGATAAGCTCTTGTTTGATACTAATGCCACCTAATGAGATGAGAAATGTATTAGCTGCAAGATAAATCATTGAGTGGTTCACTGACCAAATGGGATCTCATCACATGAGAAACATCTGATCAATGTGAATTAAGTTCCTTTTTCAATTCCAAGTTGTTTCTGACCCCAAACTCCCTCTGCACTTCAGTATATCCCCTTCTCCCCATGCTCAGTTTACAATTTCATTACTTTAATACGTCTGTCCCTACATGTACACTATTCATGTTGTGAATTATCCCCCTGCTCATACAACTCAGTTATTATATTCTCGCCAAAGACGCCAGATTGCACTCCTTAATATCATAAAAACTAGAGGAATATTGAGAAATTACACATATAAAAATCAGAAAAATATGTCACAGATAATAGGTGAGGTCTAATATAAAATGTATCACATTTCAACTTATTATTAGTCATGAGCTCAACTTTAGGATTACTCTACTGCTCTGGTATTACTTTATTCTGCACTAGATTATCATAAATCAAGGTGTTGTCTTGTAAATTATGGGAAATATAGCAAAATGTTTGTGCACTACCCCAGGCACTACCTCTGTACAGGGATAAAATGTGACAATCAGGTAGATTTCAAAGTTTAATGTTCATAAAGATCTAGAGAGTTAGAACCATAACTGGTGAAATGACTCAATTATAAAGGAGTGAGATTCTATTGTCAGTTTGATTTATAAAAAAGCTAAAAAGCCTGTTAAAATGGAGTAAAAAGTTTGCATGAACTTGTTCATTAGATACAGTACCAAGTTGAATTGTGCTCTTTGGCGAGAATATGGTATTTTATTTTCCTTTCTGTCTTGGAACTTCATCCTCAATAGAACTTTAAATAACACGACCCAATCATTTCCCTGATTTACATATGTACATTGTTACTATCTGGCCCCATTGTTTACTTCATATGGAATTACTTGTGAAATCTGTTGGAGCTCTTATATGTTGGTGCTATAGTTTTATTTTATATTTTATTTAGTTCTAGGTAATAGCTCAATCAGTTATGAAGTAAAATTATCACTTCCCAAATCATCCATGATTCCAAATTTCTAAAATAACGATGTAAAACAACTTTTCAACTTAGCCATATTATCTAGTAACCTTCATTTTCTTATCCCAGAACATTTTCAACATTTTCCATAGAACACAAAACATATTTTACTTCATAGCTGGTGTATATACATGTATATTGTCATTGTTGTGTGTGCACTCCTTCATTTAGTGTTACAAAATATATATTACATACTATTATGTATTGTATATAAACTGTATATGTGTTATATATAGTTGTGAACTTAATCAGGGGTCCTTAACAGACACTTTGGAAAGGTTGAGAGTCCTTTAGTATGACATTATTATATCAATGGTTATAACAATTGATTTCTGAATTCGTAACTTTATGAGATTCTGTTAATGGCCTGATGATTGTATCTCAATGAAGGACTGCACTACTGTACTGTAAATGTGTGCTTCACTGCAGGGGCATAGATGTCTACTTGTGTTCTCTTCATATACTGGGCCTGCAGGTGCTCCAATGGGATTAATGGTTCATCTATTATTTGCAAATTATATAGCTTCATGAACATAACATTGAATCTTTACAGAAAAAGACATGTTCATGAATTTTCATTTTGCACAAAAATGGGATGTCAATTGTCAATATTGTATCAGAATAATCCATCATTGTAAAAACAAATTCTATTCCTTGCAAAAATTATGAAGTCAACTATTTTATATCTGTGTCTGCAAAGTATGAAGAAATCTTATTTGCCTGGCATACATGCTGAATATATAAGATCAAGTCCAATCCAAGTCAAAGTATATCTGACCTTATGAGGTCAGGGACCAATGCAAAAGTTCAACGTAGGAGAGCTAACTAAATTCTGATAGTTAATTGCCAGATACCCTCCCCCTCCCCTTGTTAACTAAATATGAGAAATGTTGATCTTCTCGGCATTTTCAAAAGTGCATCCAAATGCACTTGAGTTCATCATATTGGTCTGTTCAGGTAACTTGAAGGGTATTTCTTGCACTTTCATATATTCTTTGAGTTTTGAGCTTTTTTTAAACCCCAGTCCTGCTGTGTTGACAGTCTTACATGTGAATGAAACAGCTGACTGTCCCCAGGTGACTGTCCCATATGGCTGTCTGAGGACTGTCCACTGCTTGTGCCTGAGGTTGAGGATTGATAATTGACCTTAAAATCGTGGTTATTAGAACCACACCACCATGGACTGAACGTGGTTTTAGATTAACAATATTTCATTAATTTTGTTCAATCATATTTTATTGATTTCCAAATTTCAGTTGCTTTGTGAGACGGTTTTACCTTTCTTACCCACTCCAAACGAGTCACTCCATAAATTGTTCACTAGTCTTTCATAGTCTGTTGTAGAATTACCATAAATTGGCTTCATATTCCTCTTTAATCAAGTTTTATGTGATGTTTTATGATAAAATTTCAAGTTTTTTCTTTTTCATGGGGAATGGGGAATCCTTCAAAGAATCTACACTGAATGAAATGACCATGACGAATATTCCTGGAATTCAAAATTGGATGTTGGCAGAGCTTAACTATTTGGCACAATAACACCCTTCCCCTAACTATCAAAATTTAGTTAATTATCGGACATTGATCTGTTGCATTGGTCCCTTAGTTTGTACCAGTGATCAGTGTCATTACGATTTATCATTGAGAGCTTGGACATAATGTAGAAATATACAAGGCTTAATTCAATAAAACCTGACCAATTCAAATGACTGATTTTGCTTAATCCACATTCTCTTGATATATTGTATATACATATATATTGTATATACATATAATCTGAACAATAAAAATTATCTTTGCAATAACTCAGATGCGAGTAGTTTCACCACCAGGTAGCTCATTCGGGTCATATACGTAGTATGGCGGTTATAGAAGAAAGTTCCCTTTAACTTTAATATTATTAGTTTTAGTGGTTCAATTTTCACACCACCCTCATGTGTTTAATAGTTATGCTAATTAAAATATGTCCAGTAAAAGAAAATATTATCTGTTCAATAGAGAAAATATATTTCACTTTTTGCGATTTTATAACGTTTGGTCTATGGGGAATCTCCCCGAACTAGAAGTCACATTTCCTAAAAAATTAAATTTTCAAAGTTAATTAACATATTTCTAGATGTACCTTTACATGTAGATTTCAAATATGACATCACTTTGACTGAATTTTGAATATTTAATGACGTAAATCAACTCATCTACTCATTCCTCACAAGTGAGATGATTCTTAAAACTATATACATTGTTTTCACCATAGCCGCTCATCTTGATGCTCATATACCTGCTTTATTCCTGGCTATAGAGAGAGATCTTAGATACCACAGTTATTTTATGTGCCGTGAGATAACAGTATTAGTGTCTTGTCTAATTAAATATTTATATATTTATCCAATTAATCAACTCCCAAAGTATAGCTTATGCCATATTTCTTGCAATTTTATCCTGGGAGATAAACTAAACCTTAGTATGCTTCTTTTGTGCCATTTTTTCTCAAATTTGAATAAAGTTTTGATTTTTTGGCATTTTTACTCAATTGATTACATTAACTGCATGTTGATGTATTTTATTATTTCATTATGTATCTGTATTGTACTGAAATTTGGATGAAAAGTTATATCACTATAGCATTTAATTTCATGGTTTTTCCCAATGGAGATGATCATTTTAATGTTGGTTCTGCTTTCACGCCATTTTGTCGACTTTTCGTCACCATTTACCATATCATTTTATTAATTAATTAACTTATCACACTTTTGAGTCAATACTTTGTTACTTTTCGTTGCTATGAATATTTTCAATAAACAGCAACACAAAGAAAACATAGATTACTTTTGTGTAGCATCAAACAATAACAAGTTCAAACAATTTTCACTCAATGGAATAAGCCACAATAGTTCAAGTATTGTTTCAGCATTGCATTTATGACAACTAAGTTTGCAAACTCTACAAGGAGTAGAGATGTATAAATAAGTTAGGTGCCAAGTATCTCACCTACAGATATTTGTGGACACAACATAATGTAACAATCAAGGTATCACTTTAATTAAGCAAAACATTGTTAATTGGTTCAGAGTTAAACTAATCATGCAAATATTCTATGAACTCATGGCACTTTTGCTCATCCCAGGTTGAAAATTGGTTG